GACACTACTTCAACCACTAGCAACCTGCACTTTGACAGCATTCCTGATTAAAAGATAACAAGTAGGTATTTTCAGGGCTTGAAAGCTACCTACTAGTCAGAGGATTGAAATTACTAGTAGACAAGGAGGTGACCTCCAGCAAGGTCCAGGGAAAACATTCTTATGATATACCCCACTCCCTGCTAATTTTAGTGGCTAGGAAGACCATGGGCACTTCTAGTAAGGTGGTGGGGCAGTACCAAAGGTTACAAAAGAACCTCCATAGGTTTAATAAATAAAGACAAGTTTCTTGTGCAAAACAAACATACACAGGATCTATCAATCTCTAACCACATTCCATTATACAACTGAAAAAAAAAAAACAAAAAAAAAAACCAAACATGAGACAACCTCCAGCAGCCCAGAGTCTTCCACAAATATAACACAATCTAAGCAGGGAAGCTCTTCCCCTCCTCATTTTTGGTAGATTTCTCTTCCACCTGAAGCCAACTTTATTTTCAAGTTCACTGCCATTATAACCACATCATGTGAACTGCAGGACAAGTTTAATAAAATGCACTAAAGAAAAACAGAAGAAAATAAAGTCAGGAATTAATAAAAAATAGGGAAAATAAGGAGGTTCTACAGTTAAGAACCTGTGATGAACGTATTAGGGCAACTCTTCAAATTCTATTATCAAATTCATAAGCGATAGACAGCATTTCCTTTAGAGCATAGAGACTACAGCATTAACTGAAGTCTACCAGATGTATGTGCTTATTCAAGCTCCTAATCCAAACCAGCTGTCCAGAACAGGAAAGGTTTTCTATACTAGAGGCAGTACCTAAAACTAGAAACAGCACTTAAGCAACAGTTCAAAGCTGAAACAAACCTCTAATCTCTACTAAACCCCTACATTGGGCTCAATGTCCCAAATTTTAGACAAGACCTCTGAATGAGGCATCAGGCCTGCAGATCACTTTCTAAAATGCTCTGCTCCTCCCATAGTCAGTTCTAACCAATCATTCACTTCCACCTGACCTAAAATGGAGTCTCACAGCTGGCTATAACTATTACTCTGCCCACATGGTATCTTGCAGGTTTGAAAAACAATACCAGAAAACCCCACTATTATAAGATAAGGCCTGTTAGAAAGAAAAAGGAACAGATACACCATACTTATAGTTGAGTTTTGTTTTCTTAACTCTTCGAGACAGGAATTTTAAGACAAAATAATACTCTTCATTTCACAGGCTGGTTTTCCTAGATTGATATACTCTCAGAAATAAACTATTCTCACAGATCACTCTTGAAGAAGAGTGATCTTCTTTACTACCTTGCTGTGACCCTTCCTAAACTAACTCAAGGATCCATACTACTCACAGGCCTGCCAGGGCCTTTCTATACAGGGAGATCACCACTACAGCATCCTTATCATCACAAACAAGAGGCCCATGTTTCCCATCATGGAGCTTCCCCTAGACTCCATGAGGAAGCCTCTCATCTGCCTCAAACTGGTAAATTTCTGACCAAATCTGCTCTTTCCTAGCAGCTAAATTGGGGCAAAGGCTTTTTATTTTTCTGCTTTCAGGACAACCTCAAGTTTCTGCTTTTCTACCCTGCTTTTTCAAGTCTCTAATGCATGCGCTTTCCCTGTACACAACTCCACTGCTCCTCTCTCTTTTTGCTTATCAGCTTTCCCAAGCAGCTGAAAGGGGAAAGCAATGCAATTCTTTAGCTTCATTATTACTTTTAAAAAAGTTGTGACTGGCAGCAAGAACACTTACTTTTTGTGGGTTCTGGAACGCAATCCATCTGAACAGTTATCATTGTAACCCTCAGAACCTGAACTATTGTTCACCTGAAATTTTAGATTCTACAGAGTTTGTGGTTTATGCTGCTACACTTACTACCGAAAGCCCCCTCATTAACTGCAAGTGGATCTTTTTCCCTGAAGCCAAATATTCTCATTTACAACTTTCCCACAAGGAAGTTGCAACTTGCCATCAAGGAAGATTTCTGTACCATTATAAATCAGGAGGTACATTTTATTCTCCAAAATTATTACACCAGAATAGTAATCCATATATTAGTCTCTCCCTTTCTATCTAGAAATGCTTTGAATTGGTATAGGTCTAGATGGAAAGGGAGAGACTAATATATGTAGGTTTGGGGGGAGGTTGTACCATTTTCATTAGGTTGCTGTAGTTAAATAGAGTAACATGTAGAAAAGGTTTGAAGTACAAGGAGATTACATTCAATTGTCTAAAATCCTATTACATATCAATAGCAGCATCAAAGATGAAATCCAAGTGCACCGATTCTTCTAACCAGTAGTCAGCGGTGCTCACCCTCCTAAAGCCCAGATGGGACCCAGGGGGCTATGTTGTCCAGAAATTTGGCAGCAGGGGAAGAGAAGAAAGCATCAATTGCCACGGCTTCCGGAGTACAGTTATGTCAGCACACAGGGCTGGGCTGGCGTATAGGGTTAGGCCCAGCACACAGGACTGAACCCACAGACCAACCCTGTGCACTGACCCCATGCTGAATCTGGCCTGCTGACTGACCTGTAAGGTGAGTAGGCTGAGCACCACTGCACTAAACCACCCTGTCTCCATTAAACAGCTTAACAAGGATTGAACTATTTTCCCTAAGAGCAGCACCTGCAGGTATGCCATCTACAGTACATCTTGATAGTTACCAAGCCTTATGATTCAGGATATAAATTTATCTCCAATTCAGATTAAGGAATAAATTCCACCCTCTCTCCCAATAGCTAGGTACATTAGTGTAGCAGCTACCTGTCCCATGTCTGAGTGGGGTGCACTAGTGAAGGACAGCCCCCATTCCAAAAGTCTTTAAATCTAAAGGGACCAGGCAAGCAAAGGACAGAAAGATACTGAGGTATACAAACCCTACATGAATGACCCAGGGTCACTGGCCTCACAGCTGGGGCACAGAGGACTGTACCACAGCCACATGAACAACTCAAGCCTTCTGCCTGACAAGTCAATACCTGTCCCATCAGACAACTGTGAGGACAGGCTTGCACTCTCCCCTCTGGGCACCCTTTTAAACCTTATTCTCTGAAATGAGATGTAGGGCAGGGTGTTTTTAGTGAAAACTAAGAACATCAAAGCTGTGACTAACTGAGTCAGAACACAGGTCGGTCTTGCCCAGTCGCCTGCATCGCCCCGTGGCAGGGAGCGGACACTGAACCGCAGTGGCCTGCAGAGAAGCAGGGGTGTTTCTGCTGCTGCTCTCTCACTTGCTGCTGCCAGCAGTGAAGGTCTAGGCAGTTCTCCTTCAGAGGCTGCATCCCTACCTCCTGCGCTCAATTGCTACTGGTGCCCCTTTGTTCTGAGAATCCGAATGAACCCTTTGTGAGCCTGGCCGAGCAGTCAGCTTCTGCAGCGTCTGGTGGCCGCGCATTCCACATGTGAATGATGCCCTGGGGAAAAAGAGCCGCCTGTGGGCCGTTTGCAACTTCCCAGTTATTAGGTTCACGTTGTGAGCCCTGGCCCATGCAAGACAGTGTATAGGGAATCCCCACAGACTCTTCTCTTTGCAGCTCAGGATTTTGGAAACTCTCAGCATGTACCGCTTCTGGTGTCTCTTTTCTCAAGGGAACAGGCCTGGCTTCAGGAGCCTCTCCTCACGCAGGACCCCTCTGTGCCGCTCCTCCTGGTTTCTTTCTCTGGACCCCCGAGTGGCATGAGGGTTTCCAGAGCTAGATGGGCACAGATCTGCCTACTGGGAGACTGCTCCCAGCCCCACTCAAGCTAGGAGTGGCAGGGAGCAGTGCCTGTGCTGGGTTTGGGGACAGGGAGCAATGGTTCTCATCACACGCACATGCAAGGCTGCATGAGCCCCTGTGCCCATAACGGCTCGGGCTCATGCACGTGTCAGACCGCGGGGTGGTGGCGGGGCTCTGCAGCCCTGCGGTGTCAACGAGAAGGCTAAAGCGACCTGGCCAGCAGCGCCCCCCGGCGGCTCGGGAAGGAGCCGGGGCCGCCGCGGCCGAGGCAACCCCCAGAGCCGGGCGTGACTCAGGGGTTGGCTCGGGCCCTGCTCCCGCGGGAGGGGACGCTGCCACCCGTGGGGCTGAGGGGGAGTCCGGCCGGTGTCCGGAGGCAGAGCGGGGGGCGGATGACCCACATCCTGCTAGTTCTCTGTGGTAAAGGCGAGGCGGGAATGTAGGGCGGAGTCACACCACGTGACTCGCGGGCACCAATGGAGAAAGGGGAGAACCATAGAGAAGCCGGGCGCTAGCTAGACATTCCGCGTTCCCACCCCATCGCTTTGCTGCCGCCATCTTGTCGGAGGCAGCGGGGTCCTCCCAGCGCTGCGGCTGGGGACGGTTCCGCGCTCCGGCCCCCTCCCCGCCGCGCTCGTTCCTCACCCCCAGTCACCCACCCCGGGCCGGGCCCCAGCGTGCGCGAGCGGAGCTTGCGCGTTACCTCGGATAGGACCACCGCGAAGCCTATGCGGGGTACGAGGCTGAGGGCCCAGCCGCCATCTTGGTGTAGAAGCCCGCCCGGCCCCACCTGCCCACATAAGGCTGAGCCCGCCCCCGCTCGTCTTGAGCCAGTCAAGTCTCCATAGGGGGTGGGGATTGCTGAGTGCGCATGCGCTGGCGGCGCGGCCTAGTGGCCCCCTCCCCCCCTCGGGCTGGCTGAGCGCGGCGCAGTGTTCCCCAATCCCACATGCGACCCATAGCGCGCCC